ACACATAGTGTTGTAGGGTATAAAAATGTCGGAATCAAATTTTAGAACAATTTCGGATTTGTTCGAATTGGTCACCTTTGGCACGAATTATGGCCTTCAAACGGCTAATGAGGCCGTCACACGCTACCCTAATGTAGCTCTGCGGTATTTTGGCCCATTCCCGCGAAGCGCTTGCTTGAGGTCATCGACACTTTGGTATTTTTTAGTGCCAACCTTACTTTAGAAAATACTGCAGTCACAATAGTCCAACGGATTGGTATCTGGAGCCATTGTGCGTTAGAAATGAAATGATTGAAATGAAGCGAGAAACCTCATTTTGTACCCATTCTTGGATGGCACGTGCTGAGTCCTGTTGGAATGTCCAAGGTCTGCGGCTAACATGTTTGCGTGCCCAAGGATTAAATACACACTCGCGACAATATTCGGCATTTATTCTGATGCTATGGTCGATTAATACGAGCGGAGAGCGACTATCGGCTGTTATGGCGGCCACACCATCACCATAGCCGGCGCGTGATTTGTGGTAGCCAAACGAAGGTGCACATTTTCAGCTGACCTCTTTGGCAAGTAAACACGATTATTTTGTTTGTTTATAAACTGCGGGACAATGAATGTTTTCTTATCAGAAAACCCAAATTCGGCAGTTCACCACTTTCGGCCAAGCGAAGCAACTCTTTTCTTTCTGTTGCGGTCTAAGTTCTTGCACTTTTTGGAATCTACCCCGAGCTCATTTTTCAATATTTACCGAATGCAATATTGCGATATGTTCAGCTCACGAGCCATTTTTCGGCCATTACGACGCGGGTTTCGATCAAGTCGCTTTTTTACTTTTCGAACCATTTCTGCTGATATAGCTGTTTTCTTCCGTCCACTTCCTTGACGTTGGGCGACGCTACCAGGGTCACGGTAACGAGCGATGGTGCGAGACACAAAAAATTTATTCACATTTAAATGCTGGAGTGCTCTAACGATAGCAATAACTTTTTTCTGGAAAATTCTCACCAAAATGCATTTGTACGCTTGTAAACAATACAATGAGCTGTCACTGGAATAATTTTAACAGCTGTCGGACGAGTGGCTTAGAAATGACAGCAGTCTGAAGTTGGTTGCAGTTTTTTTAATCTCTTTCTGTATATAAGAAATTCCTTTGAACTTTAAATTCTAATTATAGTTATAGCGTGTATGGTTGAATTCTCCCATAAAAACTTTTAATTGTTATGCGGAGCTCTACTAAATTAGCAAAGTGGTGTAGGGTATCATAAAGTCGGCCCCGCCCGACTTTAAGACTTTCTTTACTGTTTTTTATACAAATTGTCATTAAATAATTACTTCAATATTTTAATGTATTTTTTGCGAATAATACGAAATATTTAAATTTTAATTCTCATGAACAAGTATATACAGTGTGAGATGAAAAACCTGCAACCAATTTTAGACTGCTGTCATTTCTAAGCTACTCGTCCAACAGCTGTTAAAATTATTCCAGTGATAGCTCATTACGTTGTTTACAAGCCAACAAAAGAATTTTGGTGAGAATTTTCCAGAAATAAATTTATTCGTGATGGAATTCAAGCGTGATTTCTTTACATTTGGCCGGAAAATCCGAAAACCCAATTCCAAAAAGTGCAAGAACTTACACCGCAACAGAAAGAAAATAGACTCAAAACAGCTAAGGAGTTGCTTCGCAAAAGTTTTGCTCGCAGACAGGACATTCCAGCAGGACTCAGCACTATCGCACTCAGCACGCGCCACCCAAGAATGGTTACAAAATGAGGTTCCTCGCTTCATATCCAACGCAGAATGGCCACCAAAATCTCCGGATACCTATCCGTTGGACTATTGTGCCTAGAGTAGCAAGGTTGGCACTAAAAATGCCAAAGTGTCGATCACCTCAAACAAGAGCATCGCCGGGAATGGGCCAAAATACCGCAGAGCAACATTCGGGCAGCATGTTTAAAGGCCATTGGCCATTTAAAGACCATAATGCGTGCCAAAGGTGACCAATTCGAACAAATCTAAACTTATTCTGAAAGTTGATGCTATTTCCGACGTTTTTTTGCTTTCATTCAATAAAATTTGAAAAAACGTAAAAATTATGAATTTCGATTTTGTTGCAGTTTTTTTTTATTCCACCCTATATAGATATTTGTGTAAAACTTTTACCGATTTTGCAAGGTAAATGATGGGTGACTGAAGAGAAAGGAGAGGACGCTATTGCCGATTAATATGAAATACTGTTTTATCGACATGGTATTAAGATTGGCTTTAAGGGTTGAATGATTTGAGGGTTGTTACTACTGTACTGTAAATTATTGGAAGAATTGTGACCATAGAAAGACACACAATTTTTTCAATATTCTTAAGGGTTGTTCAAAACAATTTTTGGTACTGTACATATACTCTACAAGGGCATAAATTGTAGTAGCACAGACACATTAACTTACTTAAGTTTTAACCAATTCACATGAAGATGGCGACAGGAAATTGCGAAATTTGTAAAGGAGCAAATACTATGAAGAGTATATCGAGTTTGTCATTCCGTCTGTAAATCATCGAAATAATAATTAAAGACCCAAAAAATTATATATTGTTGATCAGAGTAAAATTCTAAGTAGTGTCCGTCCGTCTGTTTTAGAGTCCAAACGGCATTGGGTAGGGAGCTAACATTTTGCATAGAGTTCTCTTTTGTCTGCAGTCAGGTCAAGTTCGAAGATGAGCCCTATCGATCCGCGTTTTTGTATAGCCCACATGTTCCATATTCGGTATTTTGACGATTTTTGCCAAACTTTGTAACGGAATAGTTTGAAATTCTGTATATTTAATATTTTGACGATTTTAGCCACATTTTCGGGAACGGAACGGAAAAGTTTAAGGTTGTGTTTTTTTTTTGAGTTCACAATATGTTCTACCTCCTGTGGCAGAATATTTCCTATATAGGTCCACGTTTTTCTATGACTGAACCCCCTCCCCTTTTTTTGTTTTGTTTAAAGATACTTCTCAATCTTCGGTATGTTGCCAAATTCAGCATTTGGATCCCGTAGTGGTGTTTCTGCTTATATAGAACAATTTATGTATATATGACAACTTTTTTCTAAGCCCCTATCCTCCTAACTTGCTTACAGAGTGTTATGAAATTTGGATTGGATGTTTCTAATAACAAAAGTGTCGTATACTCACGATTTAGATGTACCTCCCATATACAGATTCAACCGATTTCGGGTTAATTGTGTACCAAATGGCCAATATCAATCCAAAGGACCTGAATTTTGGCACATTCGACCGAAATCAGTCTAGAAGCAAGTATATAACATTTGGTGAAAATCGGTTTAGATGTAGCTATAGCTCCCATATATATCTTTCATCCGATTTGGTGTTTAAGTTCCTCACATTCGTAATATGCATTCGGCAACCAGATGGTACCAGATGTCTTATAGAGCTCGGAAATACCCTTACCAAATTTTATCGAGATCGACTAAGATTTGGATATAGCTTCCATATATATCCTCAATCCGATTTAAGGTTTAGTGTGCAAATAATGGCTAATATCATCCCTAGTGGAGTAAATTTCGGGGCATACATTTCCATTTTGTGGAACTCGGTTCCGATATTTATTTTTTTAAATCACCCTTCTCAAAGTGATATCATGCACCCTATAACAATGCTATTTGATAAAAAAGATAAAAATGTCTCCCTCAAACTTAGTGAAAATCGACTAAGAATTCGATATGCCTCCCATATATTAGTTCCCTCTCAAACCAAACTATAACTGCTTTAAAGGCAAATGTTGATAAGTGGTATGATATACTTCAAAATAGTGTAGGCCATCATATAGTTGGTCCCGCCCGAATTGTTGCTTTTCCTTACTGTTTTTCCAAGAAAGTGTGCAATATTTGCTGCTAATTTATAAGTAGCGAGTTACAATACCCACCTTGCTCACGTCGCCTTATTAATGTATTCTATTTTTCTCTTTTATTCATATTTACAAGCTTAGGACGATGATAAAATTCTGGTAAGACAAACAGATGAAAATATTTTGTTTTTTTTAAGCCAATTAGTCAAGGAAGAACCCAAGAAATTTCCAGTTCAATGATATCTTGTATTAAAGGAAAATGGTTGTAATAGAAGAACTGTGTCGGTATCTATACTGAGGGAGCAGGAGCAATATGCCGAAAATATGATTACCGGAGTTTATTCAAAAAGTCCCTGTGCTTTGTAGAATCATTGCAGTCTTCACAGATTCATGGGCATTAGCCTATGATAAAAAAAAAACTGTGCTAAGTACTACTGTAAAAAATTGTGAATTACATCAAAACAAGAGATTTTACAAGATCAAGGATTGTTACCTATTGCGAGTCTTAAATGCCTAATTTGAAACGATTCCGTGGGTAAATATGACTGCTTCGGAATGTCTCACATAAAAAGTTAATCGTTTGAATAATCATGGGTCAAAGTCAAAATTTATTTAGATAAACTTACATTGTCTGGGGGTATAAATCTGTCGGAAATCCAATTGATACTTTTTAATTTATTAATATTTTGAAGACTCTATCCATATTTCCCAACAAAATAAAATGTATATTTTCTCAAAACTCCATTGAATTCCTATATTTGAAATATATAACTTCTAAAATAAACACAAATATTGAAACCATTACACCAACACAATAGAAACCCAGTGGTGAATAGAAATATTCCAATGTCAAGAGACGCTCACCCTCTTCCTCATCTCTAAAGTAACGAATTTCACCCGTCAATATGCCATACCACTCCATGGACAGATACGTCTTCCATAGTATTCCAGAGGCCCAGAGATTTCGTATGTAACGATTAAATAATTCCAAATATGGTAAATTGTGACGTATCGAGAAATACATGGGACAACTATATATGGTCGAATGTATAAGGTGTAGACGTGGTACCTTTAAATACTTCTGCTGGAATAGATAAAATTGCAGTTTATCCTCGATGGCACTGTGTAATATGTCGGTGCTTAGGTTGCGTCATAAATCATCCAGAACTATGCCATCTTCCAGAACGAATAAACTCTCCACAATGGGTGATATATTTGGCAATTGTTTGTAATAATCCATATCCGATTGGGTGACCTTGAAGCGAAGGTTGGTACTTGCCAAATCCTCAATGCTGTCAATTTGTGGCTCATATAGGGTGGTGACCAGCAAACTGGAGAGCATACACAGATAATAGTTGATCATGATAAAGTTGTAGACAATCAGCAGAATATAGAGCAAGTTGAAACGCAACGAACGCACCGGAATGGTTAGTTGATACTGATACAGGGCAATACTGCAAATGTAAATGAAGGATTTCGAAAAGTCCCATATTGAGTATTTTGACAAAGTTAAGAAGGCCACCGCTGAGGTGGCGCCCAATATTGCCAAGACATACAACAACCACACAAACTCATCGAAGGGTTTGTAGAAATATTTATATTTTGCAATGGGTTTTGATTTGGGCACGATTATGTAGATATTAGCATTCCATAGGACATCACTGGCATCGGTGGTTTTGTTGGGATACACGGGGAATGATGTGAAATCCATGTGACCCGTCTGCAATGCCTCCAGCAGGGGTTCTTTGTCATCGTCATCGTAATTGTGAGGATATTCACGAAATGTAAAATTAAACTTCTCAATGAAAATCATAAGAATGCTAAACATATAGCCAACATAGGTTAAGTTTCCACTACGATCGATGTACCGATAGCATCTGGGTGGGCTGGAAGTTATGGGAAATGTTAAGGGAAATTTATGAAAATTGCGAATTTCCTCCCTTTCATAGTAACTCGAGAGCGATGGAAGTTTTTCCACTTTCAGAGTGGGAAATTTGTGGTAAACATATAAAGAACTATTGCAGTAGAATAGAACATTTGTAAATCCACAGTTCCAGCAGAGCTCTGAAAATTCGTGCAAATCTGTCATCTTGGCTTGTGGCACAATCCACAGTGAATTGACCGTGTGTAGCTTCCGCAAATGAAATTTCGCCATATTGGCCATATGAGTGAAATCGGCCACGTTTTCCACGCTCACAATTGCCAAAAAATGTTGTGAAAACTTTTCATAGAGAAATTCCGTTGCCAATAAAATCTTCTCCAATTCTTTGCCAGTTTTATTTTGATGCCACATTAAGTCCAATGGTTTTGTTAGTATCATTAGCGGTTTCTCAGTTTCTTTCATTACCAGTTGCATTGTAGGCGATATTTGAGGTTGTGTTAAAAATAAATTCCATCGCAAGTCGAAGTGTTCATTTAAATTATTGATGATTTCATTCAAACTACACTTTGTTTGCCCGACAGAGGTCAATGAAATGAATGTCAGGAATATTCGTTGAAACTTCATATTTTCCGTTGAGGTGACCTATCGCTTCAATATTTGCTTATGAACTAATATTTTAGTTTTACGGGCTAAATTCAATTCAATTCTTTAAATTTATTTATGACATACTCAGTTATGGATCAGATAACAAAACAAATAAAATTTAGCGCTTTATTTACTTGGGAAAACGAGCTTTTTTCATTTGAATACCTTCCGCCGTGAGAAGAGGATTTTATCATTCTGTCTGCAACACCTCGAAACATTCGTATGAGACCCGTTGAAGTTGAAGTATTTTGATTAGGCTCAACAACACAATACGTTGGGGGTATTATAAGTTTGATTGAGCCAAAAATTATGTAACACCACGAAATATTGGTCCTGGGTACAGGATGTTATGTCCGGATCTTCCTATCGCGACCAGCTGAATCGATCTAGCCTTGTGTGCCCGTCCGTCTGTCCATGTTAAATTGTAATAACGCTACAGGTCGCAATAATGCTCGATAATCACGAAATTTGGCATGGAGATGGAATTAAGATCTGAACAGAAGAACATTGCTTTTGAAGATGAAATGAACTGAAAATAGAAAAAAAATTGATTTTGTAGTTTGTTATAGACGTCTCGTCACTATTATAGACGTCTCAGAACTTTGCATGGGGCTAGAGTTTACGGAGAACTCTACCAACTTGAATGCTCATCGAATAATATTTAGAGGGAAAAATTCCAGTGAAAAATAAAAATTTCCATTAAACCGTGAACATTTTTCTTTCCAGTGGAATCACAAATACTTGAAAAGGCTACTTCTGGCTTTACATTGATACTGACATCCAAGATATCGTATATATAGCAAAATATATAAATATATACAAATATTGATATATCAAAGAAGGAGACGTTAGACCGCGAATGGTCTTTTGGCAGAAAAAAATAAAAAAATTGTATTGCGAATTACTGTGAAATTTGAGAAATAATATTTTTGTCTTTGACATTATCCTTCTAAAATGAAGCTTTGCCAAATAACAGAATAGATTTTTTATACCCTTCACCACATAGTATGGATGGTATTTTAAGATTGTCATTCCTTTTGTAAGTATATATATTCTTGATCAGCGTACAAGATACAACGGTACCCCCGACATTCGATATTTTGACTTTATAGACATTATTCACCGGAATTGTATCAAATTTTTTATTTAGAAGTCGTAATGGAAACTACAGGTTTTAATCAAATATGTGAAAATGGACTTTATTCACAGGAATTTTTTTTAAATCCATCATTGAAGTTCCAAAGTACAGTCTATGACAAAAAACTGTCTGTGTAGGTCCAGGTCTTCGTGTGGCCCCTAAATGTCGGTACAACCCTATGTTCGGTATTTTGCTGATTAAATTTACATTACTCTCCGAAATTGTCTCAAATTTCGTATTTGCACTTCGTAAGGGGTACTACAGCCTGTATTACTCTCTCAGTCGATTTATGCATGTCAGTTCGTCTCTCAGTTCGTAGCCAATATCAGTCCAAATGACCTTAATTTTCTCATATCCAATCGAATTCAGTCTAGAAGCAAGTACTTCCATGTATATGTTTTATCCGATTTGGGGTTCTAAGTACCTCACATTGGTAATATGCATTCGACAAGAATAATATTTTGTACCAGATATCACATACAGCCCATAAATACGTCTGCCAAATTTTATCAAGATCGGTTCAGATTTGGATAAGTCTGCACCAAATGGCCAATATCAGTCCAAAAGTCCTAAATTTAGGTACATTTGATCGAATTCAGTCTAGAAGCAAGTACATAAAATTTGGTGAAAATCGGTTTAGATTTAGCTATAGCTGCCATATATATGTTTCATCCGATTTGGTGTTTAAGTCCCCACATTCGTAATATGCTCCCCATAGAAATGATAATTGGTACTAGATATCTGATACAGTCCAGAAATACCTCTGCCAAATTGTATCAAGGTTGGTTCAGATTTGGATATAGCTCCCATACATACCTTTAAACGATTTCGGGTTAATTGTGCACCAAATGACCATTATCAGTCTAAAAGTACTAAATGTAGGTACATACGACCAAATTCAGTCTAGAGGCAAGTGCGTAAAATTTGAAAATCTGATCAGATATAGCTATAGCTCCCATATTTATATTTCATCCGATTTGGTGTTTAAGCCCCTCACATTCGTAATATGCATTCGACAACAATGATACTTGGTACCAGACATCCTATGGGGCTAGGAACTTGGATCCTACATATATTTTTTAATATTATCCTCCTCGAAGTGATATCATACACTTTATAGCAATGTTATTTGGTATGAAAGATTAAAATGTCTCCGTCAAATTTAGTTAAAACCGATTCAGAATTGGATATGCCTCCCATATAAAAGTTCCCTCTGAAACCAAATGTTGCTATGTGGTACTACTTCAAATAAATTCTTTTCTTACGGGAGCTCTACTAAATATGTATAGTGGTGTAGGGTATCATATAGTCGGCTCCGCCCGACTTTTAACTTTTCCTTACTGGTTTATTATTATTAATTATTTATTTGGGAAATTTCAAATTCATTCAAATTAAAGTTTGGCCTGGCCGAACTTACTGATATGGAGGGTATATTAAGTTTGCCATTCCGTTTGTAACACCTCGCAATATACATTTTCGACCCCACAAAGTATATATATTCTTGATCAGCATAAAATTCTATGTCGATTCAGCAATATCCATCCGTCTGTCCGTCTGTGGAACGAAATGAAGTAGGTTGATAAAATTTTACTCAATTGGTCATGTAGATCCACGTCTTCGGATAGCCCCCATATAACGGTACCTCCCGATATGCGGTATTTTGATGATTTTAGCGACATTATTTACCGGAATTGTTTAAAAATTGATATTTAAAGTTCGTAGTAGATATTACGGCATATGACAGAAAATGGGCCATGTAGGTCCACGCCTTCGTATAGCACCCATATAACAGGACCCCCCGATATTCGATATTTTGATGATTTCAGCGATATTATTCACCGGAATTGTTTCAAATTCGGTATTTGTAGTTCGTAATAGATACTACAGCCTATGACAGAAAGTTGTCTGTGCAGGTCCACGTCTTCGTATAGCCCCCATATAACGGTACCCCCCGATGTTCGGTATTTTGATGATTTTAACGACATTATTTACCGGAATTGTTTCAATTTTGGTATTTGAAGTTCGTAATGGATACTGCAGCATATGACAGAAAATTGTCTAGTTTTGCATTTGAATATTGTAATAGCTGGTGACAAAAGTTGCCTATACAGGTCCACGTCGTCGTATAGAACTTATTATACGGCTACATTTGGTATTTTTAAGATTTTAAAAGAATTTTTAACGTATTTTATTTTTTTGAAAATTATTAAATTTGTACCAAATGGTGGAGGGTTTTCAAAGTTCGGCCCGGCCGAACTTACAGCTTTTTTACTTGTTTTTCATATGCAACGTATATCTGGGTAACATTTAATAAAGTAGATGTATTCATTTTAAAAGGGCTTAATTAAATTGTATTTTTTTAGCTTAATCGAAAATAAGTTTTTTGTAATTATCTACTAGTTTTGGTCTTTACAATAATTTGCTTTAAAAGTTGAAATGTGGGTCTCATTGTACTGTTTTTACTCCACATAGTCCTTACAAGTCCTTCTGTGATAAATTCGACAGCTATTATATTTGGTGGTTGTTTCTATAATTATTTTATTTATTATTTTTTTATTTTTCTTATCTCAAAATTGCAATAATTATCGATTCTTTTTCCTGAACATCTTTTTGGAACATTTAAAATATAAAATTTCGAAAAGAAATACAAACGCTGACAAAACACTACCAAAGCAATATAAACAGATTGGGGCATAGAAATACTCCAGTGATAGAAGATGATCACCGTCTTCGCCATCTTTGAGGTAATGTAATTCACCACTCAAGATTCCATTCAACTCCATGTCGAAATAAAATTTCCACAACAATCCCGAGGATGCCAAATTCATTAGAAAGCGATTAAAGAGTTTCATATAAGGTAAATTGTGGCGCATTCCAAAGAAAAATGGAGAACTCAGTACGACCGGTTTAATCATACGAACTCGTGGAACTTTCAAGTAACGCTGTTGATACAAATAGAATTCCAGCTTATCATCGTAGGCATTCAGGGCGGAGAGGACACTTAAATTTCTTCTCAAACTATCCAAGACTATGCCATCAACTGCAAGGGAAATGTTCAGTATAATTGGGGAAATGTTCGAAACCGATGAATAATAATCAATGTCTTCCTGGGTTGCCTTTAGTCTCCAACTGGTTTTGCCCAAATCTTCAAATGTCTCAATTTGATTTTCGTAAATTGTCAACACCAATAGGCTCGATAGTATGCAGAGATAGTAATTTATCATTATAAAACTATAGATGAGGAGCAGAATGTAGAGTAAATTGAAACGCCATGACTGCACCGGAATGGGCAGCTGATATTGAAATAGGGATAAACTGCAAATGTACATAAAGGATTTGGACACTTCCCAGCGAAAGTATTTCACATAGACAAAGAGGGCAAGATTTAATGATGCTGCAACAATTATAAGGCAATATAGAAGCCAAACCAGGCCATCGAAGGGTCTCACAAAATATTTGTATTTATCAATTGGGCTGGCATTGGGCACAATGACACGAATGTGATTAAACCACAAAACATCGGAAGCAAACAATGAGCGATTCGGATATGGTGGAAATGCTGAAAAATCCATATTACCCATAATGAGGGCGTTAAGCAACGGAACCTTGTCATCGTCGTGATAATCGTGGGGATATTCTTCAAAAGTGAAATTAAAGTATTCAATAAAAGTCATCAGCATATGATACATATAACCTGTATAGGCTACTCTCCCATGTCGATCGATGTAACGGAAACATCTGGGTGGACTTGAGGTTATGGCAAAAGTTAGCGGATATTGATGAAAATTTACAATTTCATCTCTGTTAAAGTAGTCCTGAAGGTGCTGCACACTTTCCACCTCCAAACTGGGGAACATGTTGTAGGTGTACAATGTATTATTACCGAAAAACAATACCTTGGTAAATCCATAATTCCAACATGTTTGGGCGTAATCCAATATATCATCAATTTTTGCTCCATTCACAATCCATACAATGTAGATGAAATACATTCTTTTCAAGTGATATTTGGTAATATTAGCCATATATAGGAAATTATGTTTATCCGAACCTTTTTGAACATTGACAATAACCAAACTGTTCTCCGGGAAAATTTCATAGAGGAATTTGTTGTTATCATCATCTTTCCAAATGGGCGATTTAAATTTCTCTCTTTCTTCCATAGATTCTGCAATGATTGCAACGGGTCTTGTATTATCCTTCAGCATTGTTTCGATTTCAGCAGTTATTTCATTTTGGCTAATTAATAAATTCCATTCAATATTAAGATGTTCGTTGAAATTATGGATTATTTGTGGTAGCGAGTAATCAGCCATTAGTTGTATGGTATTGTGTAAAAGCAGCAGACATAATAAAATTGACATTTTTAAATAATTGTTAATCCTGCCAAGTCGCTGTTAACTTTGTCAATGACCACAAGTGCCGCAAAGTATTTGCGATAGGCAGGTGAAATTTTTATATAAATTGAGTGCAAATATTTATACCCTACAACACTATGTGTTGGGGGTATTATAAGTTTGATTGGGCCAGAATTTATGTAACACCTCGAAATATTGATTTCCCACATAGGAAAGTATATATGGATCTTCCTATCTCGCCGAGTTGAGTCGATCTAGCTATGTATGTCCGTCCGTCCGTCTGTCCGTCTGTCCATGTTAATTTGTAATCACTCTAGGGTCAGAATAGAACCCTATTTCTTTTGGAGATGATCGCATAATATTTAGGGGTCGAAATGGACCAAAAACTGAAAAAATGTTGGATTTTGCAGTAGCTATACAGCTCGCAATTATAGACCAATCGACGCGGAACTTCGCATGTAGCTAGGGAAGAAGCCTACCAATTTGGGTGGTCATCGGATAATATTTAGCGGGTAAAATAGACCATATCTTTTGTGTTGAAAAAATTCAAAATTTTTCATTAAACCGCGAATATTTTAAATCCCGGCGAAATCACCAAGCCATGACAAGGTTACTTTTGACCTTTACATTGATGTTAACATCCAACAAAACGGATATATAGCAAAATATGTGCGATATATATGTTTATCAAAGAATATATGCTTGAAAAATCTCTTATATGTCGAGAACGGCTGAACTGATTTCGACAGTTCTCATTAATTCAGAATGGCCTCTTGGCAGAAAAGAAAAAACGTCTAAAAAAATCGCATAAAAATATCTCTCTAAAGATGAAAATATTGATTTTGTAACATTTTCTCATATATTTTCAATTTTGTCATATTTTTGGCATATTTTCATTTTGAATTAAACATTTGGTAATATTTCTACTGCTAACAAAACTAAGTAGTTAGGATATCAGGATATCATATACAGATCGCATTTATGGCCCGATCCTTACGAAATTTTGCATGGGGATCAGATGAGGGTCAGAATAGAAGCCTACTCTTTTTGGAGATGATCGCCATATATTTAGGGGTTGAAATGGACCAAAAAACTGCAAAATTGTCTGCAGGTCGTAATTATCGCCCGATACTCACGCACATTTGAATGGGAGTTACCGGACATTATAAAAGCCAAGCAGTTTTGAATGGCCATCCAAAAATATTCAATGTGGGAAATAGTTTGCCAACTTTTGTAGACAAAATACGAAAATGTCCATTCCAGTGACTTTTTGGAGAATTCACAAATACAGGAAAGACTCACTTCTGACTATTTCGTTAACGCTGATTTCGTTCAGTCAAAAACCAATAATAAATATTAATCTTTTGCCACTTCTGAGAGATTATAGGTCTTTGGGAAATATTGGTTCCAGATCTAGGAAGAACATTTACGTGCAACATCTACCAATAAATTGGAAATGAGCTAATTAGTTTAAGTTGCTATTATTCGAAAATTAGAGAACGAAACCTGATGGTTTTCTTTTATTATTTGTCACAATATCTTGCGGAATACTTTCAAGTATCTGGCCTATATAAACTGTATCGTTTATTATAGTGTTGTAGGGTATTCAACGGTCGGCCCCGCTCGACTGTAGCCTTTGCTTACTTGTTTTAGATATAAATTTTGCGATAGTATGACAATTACTAATTAAGAAGTAGAGCCTAGTTTTCCAATGTTTCAGTCGGGAGCACATGTGGGAGGCTAAGAAAACGTTGCGTTGGTAAAGTACATTGGTAGAGTATATGAAAATACTTAGCTAAGTTCATGTCCTAGCCCTCAAATTAATAGCTAAAAATTTGTTATTTTCGATTGAAAGGTAATCAATTAAGCCATGTCTACTAATAAATCTAGCCTTACCCACTCAACAACGAGAGTAAGAGAGAGAAAGTACTGACTAGTGAAATACCAAGAGATTTTAACTCCAGCTTCTTAGATTAATAAAAAAGGATTAAAAAAGCCAGGCCGAACATTGTATACCCTCCACAATTTGGTAAAAATTTAACAGTATTCAAAAAAATAAAATCCATTAAAAATGCTGCTAAAATCTTAAAAATGCCGAATGTAGCCGTATTTTAGGGTCTATATGACGACTTGGACCAGCATAGGCAACTTTTGTCACAAGCTATTACAATATTCAAATGCGAAATTTGAAAAAAATCTGTTTATATGTAGATAAAATCATCAATATACCGAATATAGAAGGTACCATGCGGGTTATAAATGGAGCTGCTCAGACAATTTTCTGTCATAGGCTGTAGTATCCATTATGAACTTCAAATGTGAAATTTAAAACAATTCTGGTAAATAATGTAGCTAAAATCATCAAAATACAGAATATCCGGGGGTACCGTTATATGGAGGCTATACGAAGACGTGGACCTGCACAGAAAATTTTCTGTCATAGGCTGAAGTATTCATTATGAAATTCAAATATCATATTTGAAATAGTTCCGGTAAATAATGTCGCTAAAATCATCAAAATACCGAATATCGGGGGGTACCGTTATATGGGGGCTATACGAAGACGTCAACCAGCACAGACAATTTTCTGTCTTAGGCTGTAGTATTCATTAAGAACTTCAAATACTAAATTTGAAATAGTTCCGGTAAATAACGTCTCTAAAATCACCAAAATACCTAATATCGGGAGGTACTGTTATATGGCGGCTATACGAAGACGTGGACCTACATGGCTCATTTTTGGTCTTAGGATGTAGTACCTATTACGAACTTCAAATACCAAAATTGAAACAATTCCGGTAAATAGTGTCGCTAAACTCATCAAAATACCGAATATTCGGGGGTACCGTTATATGTGGGCTATACGAAGACGTGGACCTACATGGTCCTTTTTCTGTTTTATGCTGAAATATCTATTACGAATTTCAAATACCAAACCTACATGGTCCATTTTCAATACCAAAAGTCCTGCAGACATAATTCACATTTGAGTAAAATTTTAGTGATTTCCACAGACGGACGGACATTTATAAATCGACATAGAATGTTATGCTGATAAAGAACACTAAATGCATATTTCGAGGTGTTACAAACGGAATGACAAACTTAATATACCCAATGTAGGTCCACCATTTGATACAATCCTTGTATAATGATACCCGCGATTTTATTTGTTGCCAGGGTCTTGGCAATATTTTTCAGTCGATTTGACATAAAACTAGTATTTTAGTCTCCTAATGAATAGAAAACTTTCCGACAGAACAACATCTCACTGATTGTGATTTGGCGATATATAGTTGGCATTCCTCGATAAGCTAAATGTGATTCGATTTCCCTCAAACTTGGTGAATGGAACTCCTTTTGATATTTTTATTTTTATGATCTTTTGCAATTTAATATTCTGCATAAGTTAATTTTTTCTTTGAACTGATTTTCCTACCTCTCTAGCTTTTTCCTAGCTTCATATTAAGCTACTTGTTGCCATTCGTCGATCAGTCCACACATACACACTGATATTAATTGGTATATTAAGTGACAAATATTATAACGATTTTATCGCCTCATCGATATTAATGTGAGACAATATAAATTTTTATATGATTCAATATTAATTGGAATTTATTTCTTAGCAACTGTCGACACATTTGTTAATAGAGTGTAAATGGTTTTTAATAAAAGAAAACATGTCTGATTATGATCTTTGCTATATTCTAGAAAAATCTAGTTTCAGCAAATAATGTGTTCGCAGAAAATTAAGTTGTCGAAGTTTAAAATGGGTATGTGAAAATATTTTAAAATATGTATGAACGCACATGAAAATAACAGCATTTTATTATACCCTCCACCTTGGAAAGGAGGGTATATTAACTTTGTCATTCCGTTTGTAACATCCTTAAATATTCGTCTTAGACCCCATAAAGTATATATATTCATAATCAGCATAAAATTCTAAGTCGATTTAACCATGTCCGTCTGTCTGTCTGTCCGTCTGTCTGTCTGTTGAAATCACGATACAGCCCACATTATTTGACGTAGAGCGCCAAAATTTAGCAGAGCTATTTGCATTGTGTCTAGGATGGTTGGTATTGAAAATGAACGGTCCACGTTCTGGTATAGTCCCCATATAACGGTACCTCCCGATATTCGGTATTTTGATGATTTATGCCACATTTTTTCACGGATTTGTCTGGAAATTGGTATTTGTAGGTCATAACGGGTCCCTGAGCGTGTGGCAAAACATTGCATGTATAGGTCCACGTTGTGGTATAGCCCCCATATAAAGGTACCTCCCGATATTCGGTATTTTAGTTTTTTTTTGCCACATTTTTTCACGGATTTGTCTAAAAATTGGTATCTGTTGGTCATAATGGTTTCCAGCTCCTGTGGCGAAACATTGCATGTATGGGTCCATGATTTGGTATAGCCCCCATATAACGGTACCTCCCGATATTCGGTAATTTGATGATTTTTGCAACCTTTTTTCACGGATTTGTCTGAAAATTGGTATTTGTTGGTCATAATGGGTTCCAGCTCCGGTGGCGAAACATTGAATGCATGGGTCCATGATTTGATATAGCCCACATATAACGGTACATTCCGATATTCGGTATTTTTATGGTTTTTGCCACATTTTTTCACTGATTTGTCTAAAAATTGGTATTTGTGGGTCATAATGGGTCCTAGTTCGTGTAGCGAAGCATTGTAATTATAGGTCCATGTTTTGGTATAGCCCCCATATAACGGTACCTCCCGATATTCGGTAATTTAATGGTTTTTGTCACATTTCTTCTAATGTTTCTTTTACCCTAAGGTGGAGGGTATTAAAAGTTTGGCCCGGCCGAACTTAATGTTTTTTACTTGTTTTTTCTTAGCAACAATCCCTAATATGAGAAGGTGTCCGCTATGAGAAGGTCTTCTGGACCACCATGAGAAGGCTATCTGGTTCTCTACGAGAAGAC